TGAGGGACAATTTTGGTACCAAAGTGAATAGTTGAGGGACCAAAATGGTACTTAAACCTAAAAATAAATAGTGAAAGCGTTATTTTATGAATGTCTTTTATACTACATTATATCAAATAACAAAAACTATTAGATAAAATACAAAAAATATATTTTTTATAGATTGATAATAATTTAATACAATTTAAATTATAAATTTAAAAAATTTTATATTATAAATAATTCAAAGACGGAGTCAAGAAAGAAGGGAGTACCTATAGGTGGTGGTGAGGTGGTGGAGAAGGACAAGCAATTTAAAATATTTAATACATTACAAACACCTTAAAAATTCAGGTGAAAGGTATTAAAAAGTAACAATTTCAATTTATAAAAACTTCCAAACATAATAACTTATATATATATATATATAAAATTTTCATTGAAAGAGTCATTGACACATCTTAAGATGTATCAAATAACACATTCCGTAATACGGGCGTTACCTCTTGTGGTGTTTAAATTTAAAAAAAAAGAGAGGTACAAACAGGGCAATAGATTTAGGATTTCCATCTTTAGAAAAGTAAATGGTTGGATCTGTACAAGACAACAAGGACCAGAGCACTAATTCCAGGGTTATTTTAATTTATACTCTTAAATATAAGTTAAAGGGTATTTTTTATTATAAATATATAAAAAAATATAAAAATTAATAGTAATTTTAATATTAATATTAAATAAATTTAATTATATGATTAATAAATTAAAAATTAATTTTTATTTTTTTAACATATATTTATAAAAACATATATATGTATATATATAATATTTCCTGATCTGTGTCTTTGAACCACAAGTCAGATGACCCGTTCACATTTATTCTTATGAGGAATGCTAGCTGCACTCGCCTTTCTCCAGCACTCTCCGACACTCTCTCATGTGAAATGTCCACGTAACAAACTTTGGCTCGCAATTCAAAGTTTCCAACTAGGAAAGCTCACGTGGCTATTTTAGATGAAGGAGTGTTGGAGAGTGCTGGAAAAAGGCGAGTGCTGGAAAAAGGCGAGTGCAGCTAGCATTCCTCTATTCTTATTGGAAAACCACTACAGCAAGATAAGAAAAAACACAACCACAAACACAAATAAAAGCAACTACAAGAAAACTCCTTGATCTTTTTAATAGGGTGATTCAGCCTTCTCAAGGAGCATGATCATCAGCGGTTGCAACTTCAGTAACCCTCTCAAAGTGGATCACGTAGGGTGGAGATATGAGTTTTCCCATCAACATCACCTCATTGCCCTCCTCCTTGTACAAAGTAATGAGATCCCCAGGTTGCAAACCATGCTCTTGAAAGAAGCGTCTTAGGCCAGTAATTGTTTGCTTCGGACGGAGCCCCACCATCCTCCTGTTGTATTTAAGGTGATAAATGCGGCGCCCGTGCATATCCCTAGCGAGAAACGGTATGGAATTCCGACCTGGTTCATGAATCCTGGGCATTTCTTCAACAAAGTGCCGATTGGAGGCACTGACCCTGCCTGAGGCTATCACATATCGAGTAACAGCTCTTGTTGGGAGAACCACCTTCAAATTTCTCCATGGGAAAACCTGTACTACAGTGAAATAGTTGCTGGAAGGTTAAGGGGCTTGAAGTGTGAGAACTTAATTGGGTCAGTTTTATAATCACATAAAGGAAAAACAGAGATTCTCATTCAATTAAGGAATATGGAGGTCCTGTTGGAAGATTCAATTTCCTTTTCATTTGAAAAAAAAAGGCAGTAGAAACCTATTGTAGATTTGTCCGTATTTGTCAATTACAATTGAAAGTTTGCAAATGTAATTTATTTCATATTTCTATATAAATTAATTTTAAATTATTAAATAATAAATATAAATTATTTTATATAACTAAATTAAAATTAAAAAATTAACCATTTGTGTGGCTATATCCACAGCCATTCATCACCATATTCTAAAAGGTAGAACACTGCACAAGGCTTGGAGAAAACATAACATCTTTTTCCCTAAGTATTCCCTAATTTATATTATTTTTCCTTACACTGCAAAGATGACAGGAGAAAATTAAAATTTAATTTGACAAGGTTATTTATAGTTATAATTATAAGTTTTTTATTTTTTTTATCTTAAAAATATATTTTATATATTTAATATTTATTTTAATTAATATTTTATATATATTTAAAATAATAAAAAATATATAATAAAAAAAAACACAAAAAAATGTTACCATACGAAGCCGTAAAAAGATGTGAGAAGGTTTACCTCTTCCGGAGAATTCAAGTTATCCACAGCTCTCTCTCCGTTGACCATGAAAGTGTGCCCATCCATTTTAATGTTAGGTGAGCCCCTGAAATCACCAATCATGATTCACAGTCAAAATTTTGCATTTGTTAGCCACAAAAAGCAGAAGGTGCAATTCAGCACCTCTACTTAACTTATTGGGGCATGTCAGCCCCTCGACTTAAAAACAGTGCAAATCAGCCCCTCTACTACTTGAACTCCGCAAATCACCCCTTCAGTTAACTATGATCGTCAGGAAACCATTTAATCTTTTTCATTTTCTTTTTGGTTTGCCACTGCTACCCCCTCTCACTCCAGAGCCTCCGTACTTTTTTTTTTTTTTTGACCAGATAGATGGTTAGAAAGTTAGTAAAGTTA